GATCATAAGCAGGTGGAGAGACAGACAGAGAGAGAGAGAGAGAGGAAGAAGGCTCCCTGCTAAGCAGGGAGCCCAATGTGGGGCTCGATCCCAGGGACTGGATCCCAGGACCCTAGGATCATGACCTGAACTGAAGGCAGAGGCTTTAACCCACTGAGCCACCCAGGTGCCCCTTTATTAAACTATTTTAAACTTTTAAAATATACTTTTGGAACACTTGCCCCCCTCATTACTATAATTTTTCAGAATATCTCTGACCGTGCTCCAATGTTTTCTTGTTATACTAATTTTAGTAATATTTGACCCAAATCACTACAAATCATGTTGCTGTTTTCATTATAATTGTAATGATTTATAGATTTAGGGAAAACTGACATCTTTATAATGTAGTGCCTTTCCATCCTAAAATAACGTGTATCTTCCTTTCCTAGAACAAATTTTTTCTCCTTTAAGTCCCTAAGTAGAATTTGAAAAACTCATGATTTTGTGAATATATTTTTTTACTTAGCTATTTTTATTATTTCATTGTTTTATCAATTCTCTTGGCTTTTCTAATTTTTCGGAGTCTCTACCGTAGGCATGTAGTTTATAGACAGCATAGACAGTGGTTTCATTTTGGACTAAAAAATGAAAAACTGAGTTTTTCATTTTCTAAGGATTTTATCCCACATCCCTGTAGTGCTGTCACAGATGTTTATTCTGCTTCTTCATTCTTATTTCCAAAAGTCGTCGTCTGTTTGGGCCACAGTAACACAAATGCCATAGGTTGAATGGCTTAAACAACATTTATTTCTCTCAGTTCCAGAGGCTGGGAAGTCCAAGATCAAGGCGCTAGCAGATTGGGTGCCTGGCCAGAGCCTGCTTCCTGGTTCCTAGAGGGTGGTTTCTAGCTGTGTCCTCACAAGGGGGAAAAGAGACACCGGAAGTAAGCTTTCTTGTAACTCTTAAGAGGGTTAGGGTTAGAGTGAGGGCTAATGGGGTTAGAGTGAGTAGCCTTTTGACCTCATCCAATCCTATGCACCTCCTAAAGGCTCTACTTCTAATACTATCACGTGGTGGTGGTGGTGGTGATGGGAAGTTTCGACTTAAATTTTGAAGCGACACAAACGTTCAGTCCCTAACATAGTCTCAGTTTCCTTTTTATGCCTTTTCTTGGTAGTCTGCCTCACCACTGCCCCCAGACAAGTCCAGGTTTTTTTGGTTCGTATAGGTAAAATGTTTACTTTTATATCTCTTCAAGTATAGGTTTTTGTTTAGATCTTCTGAGCTGTGTCCCAGACTATTAGCATACATTATTATTTCCATATTATAATTATTTTTAAAGGACACCAAAATAGGGTGGCAAGTTGGTCTAAAATTTCAAAGTCCTACTAATCTTTTTCTACTGAATAGCTCTCATATTTTGAGCACTTATTATGGACAAGGCATTTCACATGTTATTTCTCTTGATCTGTAGATTATTTCTAGGAAATAGATATTATTATTTCCATTTTCATATGAAGAAATCAAGTCTCAAAAGATCTAGTAAATACCTAACTTCAAACAGTAGTGGATTTGAACCACAGTCTTTCTACTTTCTCTTCTCTCCTGTTCTTCACATTCCTTCTGCATCATGAGGAAAGAAATAAAAGCCAGGCTCTATCATCTCGGTTTTTGTTGATGAATCAAAGGAAAGGGTTGGAAGTGAGACTTCTCTTAAGTATAATTTACTTTTGACTTTTGAACTATGTAAATGTTTTGGTTTTTTTCTGAAGACTAAAATTATCAGGGAAAAATAGAGCTAACCCTTAACTTGAAAATAAATTGAAATTAATAACCTTAATCTTTAATAACTTAACAATTATTAACAATTTAGTAACTCTTTATCAAATTGGTTACATAACCACACAGAGAAAAGAATAATTTCTAATAACTTTGGAAGATGTTCTTCTGGTGTACATTCTTGGTAAGGACTATTGTAAGGAAAAAAGAATTGCAAATACTTTCAAACTTCGCTTCATAGTTTTATTATTAGAAGTAATATTTGTGGTATAATTTTGAAATATATAATTTTATATATTCAAAAAGAACAAATGAACATGTTAAGATACAAACTTTTTTCATTGAGAGAGGAAGGAGATACATATAAAAAATAAAAATCCTGTGTTAAATTTGACATATTAATATCAACTCAAGGTTTAGGTATTTTTACTTTCTCTGTTCACTGAAAGAACCTAAAGGCCACAATATCCCAGTAGCCATGTTAACTGAGGATCTATCCTTCATACTTTTTTTTTTGCTGTCAGTTCTGGCAAAGCCTCATCATTTGGGTGAGAAAGGACTGGGTGCCCCACGCTAAGACTGCTTCAGGTAAGGAAAGAAGTCAGTGCTTAATTCAGTAGGTGGGGATTTTAAAGTTGTTTGCCAGGGGTGAGGTCTGCCCCAGTCCTCTTCATCATCATCATTTTGTGAAGGCTACATTGCTCACTAATGCTTTTATGTGAAAGTGGACTCTTTCAGGTAATGTGAAGGCAGAGATGTAGCCTATGTCTGGATTAATGCTGGGTGGGAATCTGGAATTGAGAACAGGAAATCCTGGGAATTCAAATCCCCAGGAATTAGCAGAAACTCCTGAAAGAACTTGAGATTTTCAAAGGCTATATAATTGGTAGGATCCAAGCTGAGATGACCGATGGGAATGACCCAGCTAGTATCTGGATTGTAGGAGGTATGAGTGTATCTAGGATATGAAGAAAGGATGGAATTGGAAAAATGCTAAGGCCCAGAGAAGCATAGAAAGATCTAGAAGGCCCCAGGAAGGATGAAGGGATCTACTAGCCTGGATGCTGTGGGGAGGGATTGTGGGTTCACCTTCCTCTTTAAGAACCCTCTCCAACCTCAAAAACAGTGTCACTGTCCCCTAACTCCATGATGGGGACCTAGAACTCTTGCCACGGTGCATATTCTCAGTGTCAGGTGAGGCTTCTATTCACTTCAGATAAATTGCTTTTAGATGCTTCTCGTGAGCTTTAGGGCACTAGTTCCATTTTATATTTTCTATGAGGATGGGGTTCCTTTTCTGTTCCTCTGCTATTTACAGAGGTGTCAAAATTTACCAACATTTAGGAAAAACAGACACATCAATTTGGCAAAGCAACCTCAGGGCCAGACCCAGCAGCAATGAACCTTTTCCTCTTCCTACTTTCCTAGGTCAATTATTTTGCTACAGAGAGCCACCGGAGATGGAAATTTTCAGGAAAGACTAGAATTCACTGAAGGGCACAGGGCAGGGATTACAGGGGGAATTACGGTTTATATTCGAAGCTCATAGACCCTCTTTTTGGGTGTGGTAGAGGGCTCCATAATAGAACCCTGACAACAGTGAGTCACCGGTCATAGACTGGATCATTAAGAAAGTTCAGGATACCTGTAGGACGGAGTCCCTCAACCCTGTTCATCAGTCATGATCCCAACTCAGATCTATCTCTGGGCCAAGGCTTCCCTTTGTGTTAGGGCTGATAGGAAGAACGATGCTGCCAGCCTTTGAAAGCCTCGAATCAGATGCTAGAGCCCAAGTTCTGTCATCAAGGTCAAGTCTTATGTGAAGGAGTACACATGAGCTTGCTGTCCTGGGAAATTTGTGTTTCTCGTCTGAAGAGGATAGGGACTGAAAAATCAATTGAGCATGACATAGAAAACCCTTCTTGAAATTTTTGAGAAGTGGCAATTATTTCACCCACTTTAAAGTGAGTAACAGGGATGGATCTCAGAGCTCTCCTAATTCAATATAGAAAATCAGTTTATCTATGAATAATGAATGATGAATGTGTGCAGCTAGCCTAGAGAGAAGAGGGTGAAAATTTGGTCCTAGCCACTCACTCTAGTCTTTTAAGATCAGTGCAGAGTCAAAAAGAGGAACAAAACTAGCGCTAAAAGGCAAGGTTTTGTCCAGTCAGCTGTGGGATGCCCAAGGTTTAACCTTAATCTCACATATCCGTGAGGACCCAGGTCCACAGTCTCTGAGGATGGCAGTTCCAAGAGCAAGTCCCTATTAGAAAACAGAGCTCTTGGTGGGGGTTGGGTGGGGGGGCAGTCATGTGAGATCTATTGAAACCACTTTTTGTGTTGGGGGCAGAACTCCCAGGTCCTGACCTCCACAAGATTCAGGCTCCTCCTCTGAGGTGCAACCTGGTCTCCATACCTCACAGGGTTGTTGTGAGGATCGCACGAGAGAATGTCTGGGAAGGGCCTTCCCGTTCTTGTCATGGACAATTTTACCTTGTGTAATAATTTTGTTGCTTTCAGAGTCTTAGTCTTCCAAGAGTCTGCCCCAAAATATCATTCCACAAAGACTCCTAAAATATCACTTTGTTCCTCTCTTTACCACAAGTAAACCAGGCTCTTGGATTCTCAGATTGGAGAGGATAACTGGAAGAATGGAAGCACAGGACAAGCTTTTCCAGGGAACAGAGGAGAGGACTCTCTCTCTCCTCTTTCCTGTGTCCCCCTTCCTAGGATGACTTATGCAGTGGCAGGGCCCAGTGCAGCCTGCGGTTGACGTTGGCTCGGAAGCCTGGAGGGAAGGGAATGTGAAAGAAAGCCTTGGTGTGAGGAATGAGAGAAACATTGTGAAGTCTGGGATGTGGGGGAACATAGGCCATGGGGCCTAGGAATGAGGCCATGGGGCCTGGCCTCTAGCTCTGCCAGGCCCCATCCCAGCTCACTGACCTTAGCTTACTCCTTTTGTCTTCTGCAGCCACTTGGACAAGGTCCTAATTACAGGCAGTTTGTGGCAGCACTTTTATCAAGATCCCCACTGTGAGTTGTGTGATACAGCGGCCATGGAAGCTGACATTCTGCTGTTTGGGAGCCTGTGGAAGATGCTGTGCTGCCTCACGGCCCTATGGCTCCCACCATTCCTCTGAGGGGCTTAGCTCAATCTCTGCCTTCAGCCTCTCACGGACCTTCTGAAGACCTATAACAGACCCCTCTGTCCCTGTACGTTTGGTTTCCACTTTCTCACTGGATTCTACGGATGCCCATGTTCTAGACCGTCTGCAGACTCCATACCACCGCCTTCTGTATTCTCTGCGGACTCTCCAGAGGCATATTCACCTCAGTTGCTTCCTTGCTTGAGTACCCTTTGGGGGCCCTCTTCCCTCAGTGAACTCTTACCATCTCTTTTCCTCTCATTGGGTCCCATTTTCTCAAAACACTTCTTTGTCCCTCATTTTACCATCACTATTGGCTTTCCTTTTGTGAAAGTTTACGTGGAAAAGCTAACAAAAAGGGAAAGCTAAACAAAAGGTTTCTGAGCGTTTTTTGTTTAGGACCCCCAAATTCCCTTCTATGTATGACATGACAGGAGGTTTTAGAATTCTGGTTGTTTGACCTGTTAAACTATTTTTAATCCCCAGATCACTTCTCGGTTGAGTCTTATCACCTAGGAAGTGATTTGATTAATTCCATGACACTGACAGCAAAGAAAGCTGGATGGCCCCAAAAGGCAAGTAAGTACAAAGCCAGCATACTGTGTAATCACACGTTGTAGCCAAATGGTGAGCAAATTGCAGCCTGGCCCTGGACTCTCCAACTGAGGAGGGACTGAGGTAAAATACGAACAACCGAACAACAGTATGAAAGATAAAGACCTTGGAGGTATCATGGTTGATAGCTAAGAAGCATCAACAGTTTAAACTTTAACTTTACAGAGAGGAGAGAAAAAGAGCAAAAGCACATGCAGATTAAAGCACCCTCCTGGGTAGCTCTGACGGTCTTGTCTGGTGGGTCTTGAGGGAAGGTGGCACTTCCTGCAGTTACCAGCCTGGTCCCAGTGGTCTTGGAGGGAAGGTGCAGCTTCCTGCCCTTGTCTGTTTTGGAACCATCCCTCACATGGCACCGTTTGAGGTCTCAGGAGAGCCTCCCAGTGGTTTCCTGTGGCTTACGTCTTTTGACTCGGGAGGCATGGGTTTACTGTTGTGTTTAGTTGTTAACAGTACCTGGTAAGATCCTTCTCACGGAGTCTTTCTTTGCTGTCTCATCTAGAACAAAAAAATATAAGGAAACTTGTGTTATTCAAGAGAATGACGGGACAGAGAGTTAACAGAATATTTTGGTGATTCACAAACTAACTTGAGTCATTTTATGGAAGGAAAACCCCAATTCTGTTCTTTTTGTGTACTGTCTGTGTTATAATTTGCAGTTAGAGACTTAAAAGCCTTTTTCTGTGAATAAATCCATAAATGTGGAATATATTCTTGAAGATGACTTTTTGTCATTTATAGAATTAAAGGTTATTAATGTGTCTTTATGTGTACATGTAGGCACACATAAATATGTAAATATAATAAAGTTAATTTTAGTTTTAATTATAATTTGTCTTAGCATATAAAAACAAAGGTAGGGGCGCCTGGGTGGCTCAGTGGGTTAAAGCCTCTGCCTTCAGCTCAGGTCATGATCCCGGGGTCCTGGGATCGAGCCCCACATCAGGCTCTCTGTTCAACAGGGAGCCTGCTTCCCTTCCTCTCTCTCTGCCTGCCTCTCTGGCTACTTGTGATCTCTGTCTGTCAAATAAATAAAATCTTTAAAAAATATATACTTTATAAAATTTGTATTCATGAAACAAAATTTAAATAATCTTAAAGTTATATTTAAAAGCTTTTCTATTGAAGCTAGATCTCTCATAGCTATAGTAATGAGGGTTATTATTTAAATACATTTGTCTATATTTTATAATGCAAAATAGTTTACTGACATTTTAATTTTCTTTTTTCTTACATATTTTTGACTATTTAGTATGTAAAATAATGACAATGATTTTTTTTTTCCCCTGAGTGTCAAATTGGATCTTTAGAATTTCCCAAGTGAGGGGTAAAACAGAGGGCTAGAACAACAAAGTTGAGTGAAAGGTAGCTTTAGACAAATATGGAATTTATCAACGTAAAAAGTTTATCTTCTCTCTGTAAGGAGAAGGGAGTACGTTTATATGCAGAAAAAACTTTTTCATATATACATAGACACAAAAGAGAAAGTCATTACAGGTTTAAGCAGTAACTCAAGCCCTTGACAATTTTATCAAGCCATACAATTAAAAGTCAGTGTTTATTAATCCCTATAGAATGGAAACAGGCGAAATCTACATTAATCACAATGATCTCTTTCTTTTAGACCAGTTATACAATCTCCTCTAGAGAGTTTCTGTCCCCTTTTTGCCTCAGCATTTCTCAAATGAACATTCTTCTTCATGTCAAAGTTCCCCAAGTGGCCACTCTAATTCTAATTTATCCTTGGTGAAGTTATGCCAGGTGCTAGCACAAGCTCATTAGCAGACAAGCCCACAAGAGATTTTTGGACTGTTGATCAGAGGTAAAATATCACTTGTGTTTTAAGTCTTCAGTCCTAAGGTTAGACTGCTTCTATTTGCTGACCTGAAAAATCAGCGGCCACCTGGCTCAAATATGTGGAGAGATCTTTCCCAAAGCCAATTTCTCATATGCAGAGAAGACTGGAGAAAGTTCTCATAGACAAACAGAAGATGGTATTAAAAGCCAATTTCACCAGCGGACACTCAGGTCTGATCAAGAAACCAAAAATTCCAGCAAATATTAAACTGGTTGTATCTTTGGTCCTTCAATATTAGAATCTAAATTCAGTCTAAAGCCATACAATCAAAGACAGAGATACCTTCAGTGTCTTGAGATTCAAGGAGTCTCAGATATGTACATTATTAGTGAGTCAAGGAGGCCAGCGCTTAGTAGGAAAGGTCTTGACCAAATATCCAGAAAACCTCCAAATGTCCTATTTAGGACACTAGTAGGAGCAAAGTTGTAGTGGACTCATTTCTTGGCTCATTGCAATGATGGAGGTCACACACCAGAGGAACCATGGGGTGTGTCATCAAGAAAGGGAAAAGTTATGATACAGTTTTGAGAAAGCATGGCATTTCAATGAAATTTATGTGAAACAGTATTTTGATAAGTTAAAGCAGAGTAGGACTGTGTGAAAAAGGGGGCAATACTAGGTCTGGATGATGAAAGGGACACAAGGTCTCCTTTTCTTCGAAATTACAAATTGAGATAGAGGTGGAATGTTGTACACCCAAACCCTTATCCTGAATCTGTTCCTGGATTGGATATCAAGACAGCTGCTCTGTGTCAAAGTGAATTAGATCCTGTAGGCAAAAGCAGGATATTTCATTCTTAATGAAATTATTTCAAAAGTAAAGTTTCTGATAAACTATGATTTTTAGACATCAAGATTCCTCAGTAACAAAGTAATAGTCATGCTACTGAGTGTCTTTAGAACACTTTACAGCTGCAGTGTTTCCTTGGGAGAAATAGAATTTTCTGCTAACGTGGCAGCTGGATTTATCTGTGTTCTGTGTCTGTTTTCCCAGCTTGATGAATGGAAGGGTGGATTTTCAGTTTCTCAGGCCAAACTAATTTTCACTTTCTCAACATGTAACTCCATCCGTTGTTTTACCAGCTTGTAGAACTTGCCAGAAAGAAGCCTTGGTGGCGTGGGACCTTTTCTGAAAGTGATTAACCTCTTCCCTTCTTTTCTGTTTCCCTGCTTCCTAGGATGGGCTGTGTAATTTGGGGGCCCCAGTGCAGCTTGGGGTTGTTACTGAAGGAGGAACCCATAGGGCACAGAATGAGAAAGCAAGACTTGGGGTGAAGTACAAAAGGTATGCTGGTTTCCCCACTATCCAAAGGTAGTGTGTTCCTATAAAGATTTTCATAAGCCCTGCCCCCCAAGTAAGGCATAAAGCAAAGAAGCATTACCATTAATTTTTATGGAAAAGTTTTTGGAAGTTTCCAGAACGACGCCCTGCAGGAAAAAAACCTTCTTATGCTTTTCTGATACCTTAGGCACATCTTGCTAAAGGAGGCACAGAATAATTCAAGAGCAGGCACAGATGCTCAGAGACACGGCTCAGAGGGCAGGTGGCATGATGCTGAGGGGCTGAGTGTAGTTCTGGGGAAGGAGTTGGGCGCGCTGCCTCCGTCAAGGCTCCTATAACACAAATGCCCAACGCTATTGTCACTGTTGACCTTTTTTTGTAAAAGCAAAAATTCTCTTTGGAGGTCTTTTGGGTAGCAAAACCAGGTAGTAACTAGGTCTTTCCTAAAAGCGAGGCTGCATAACACAGTCTTTCCAAGAGCAGGGGAAATTGAGAACTACCCAAGTGTCCTCTGGGAGCTGAAATGAATGAATATGTGTGGGGTGCTAACCAGGGTGTTTGGATATAGTAAGATAGCGATACAGGTTGGTGTCCAAAAAAGGGCTCACTGTACTTTTTGCTTTCCATCCTTTGCTGTAAGGTGAAAATCCTGTTTGGATTTCTTTCAGCTAGCAAAAACAGATACTCATAGAGGTCTTTTGTAAAAGCAAAGTGGTGTTACATGAACTTTGGAAAAGGTGGGGGGAGGTTACATGTAGGGTGTGGGGGGAATGGGTATAGGCAGCTTGCCTTAGGTGCCCTTACTCTCTCCAGACCCTTTTGTTCCTATTCTGTTCCTGGTTTTAATAACTGTGGGAGGTGGACCTTCTGACCTTAGCAGGGCCTTGGAAGATGCTGCTCTGTCAATGTCCCCTTTGGTTCCTGCAGCTTCTGTACCTGGGCCCTCTCTAACTCTGTCCTCCACTCTTTTACTGACCTTCCAGAAAACCCATTACCTGTCCTTCTGGCTGAGCCCATATACTTCTGACCTATTTATCAGCCTTTTTTTCCAAGACCCTGCAGAGTCCTGTCAACCCTTGCAACTTTCCTAGCTTGTGTCTGACTCTGCTCCCACAGAGCCTGTTTTCTTCTGCGTCTGTCTTGCCCTTCGCAGTGGGTCTCACTCCCTCTTCCCCCCTGTCATCCTATTATTGCCAGCAGAGGCTCTCCCACATTCTCACACAGCTCTTTCTCCACTCCCATCACGGCTTTATCTTCTCTGCTTGGGAGTCCTCCTTGCCTTGGTCTCACCTAATCTTTCACGATCCTTCCTTCACCCCCACTACCAGCTTCCTCATTTTCCCCACAGGGTCTCCTTGCCTCCATTTGCCCCCCAGGTCTCCTTATTCATTCTCATCACGGGGCACTGGATCCCTTTTTGCCTCTGGAGCTATAATCATAACAGACTGTCTTCTACACCCATCATTTACCCTTTCTCCTCTCCCCTGCAACACATTCAGATACTAGACCCTCTTCCCCAACTAGATCCCACCCCTTCACTTGATGCTACCCTCTTTGTAAGGACTTCAGACTCTCATTTCTCACCAAAACCTCATTCACTCCACAAATCCCATGGATTCATGTGCCTGTCAGCCCCTTCCACCAACTGTCTCTACCCCACTGTTGCCAGACTTTTGCAATATGACTCAGTGTGGCTCAATTTCAGTCTTACTGAATGTTGTTCCAGAAGGCTCAGCTTCAGAGCCCTTTTGTCTGGCCTCTTATGCTACAACAACCCCAAGCTCTGACTGCTCAAAACACTTGCCCCTATCAACCTTCTGGTGGCAGGTGTCTGCTGAGGACTTGTTTCTCCCTACCTCCTCATTCTGTGACTTCGAGCCGGAGTTGTTTGTTTTGTTTGTTTTCTATGAGGTTCCTCCTCTGGGGAGATCCTGTAACCAGATACGTGGACGCAGGTAGACACTCTTTCTCAGCTCTACTGTCCAGAAGCTCCTGGAGATACAAATCACAAAAATGTGGATTTCCAGATTTGGGAGGAGAAAGAAGAGGGGATCATTTCTAAAGCAATAAAGGACATATCACCAACTCTATTGTTGGTAAGCACCCCTTAATGTTGTGCCCTACTCCATAGCCCTCTGACTCTTCTGGAGATATGAAGGTGAACTAGAGAAATTACATAGCCTGTAGGAGCTTACAAATCCCCAAACCTTCACAGACTCTGCAGCAGAAATGTAGCCAGCTCTTCTGAGGTCCCTGCTCTGCACGAGTCCCTGCTGGCTACTCTCCTGTTCCTTGCTAGTTGTTCCCCACCAGTTTCCCTTCCACCTATTCAATCTCTAATGCCCTCCTCCTGCAATCAAAAAGCAGATAACCATTCCCCAGAAAAAACAATTCCCCACTTTAAAGCCTAGCCCCAGCTAGGGGAAAAGTTCTAGAGAGAACGAACTTACCAAAGAAGGATGGTATGTATCTTCTCTAAGTTGAGTTTCCACTTTAGGAATATGATCATGGAAATGAATTTAGGAATGAATTGGAATTCTTTCATGGAGGGAAATAGTTAAGGCCAAAGCATTCCCAGTTCTGGGGCAGCCTGGGTCAGCAGAAACCCTATGTCCATAAGCTTCAGCCCCCAAGGAAAAGCCAGAAAAAGAATGCAGCCCCAAAGGATGAGAGGACCTTAGGAGATCCACAGCATAAATGCATCGAAGAAGGGAGGTAGGATTAGGGATATACCAAGCCAAAGAGTCACCTTCCCAGCCAGGGACTTAGGTGATACCCTAATGAGCAAGACTTGGTTTTTGCCCCACCTGGAATAGACTTCTACAAATAGTCACTTGGGAACAAAGGATGAGATGCTTGCTTCAGTGGCTTTGTCCCAGGACACAGCTCAGGGCAAGAAGATCGCTTGCAAAAAACCTCCATCACCTGTGCATTGCCCACAACCAGCTGAAACCAGAAGAGTTTGGGTAAACTATCGCAGTCATCGTTCCAAGCATTTGAGACACATCAGAGAAAGCATTTGAGACACATCAGAGAGAGAAACAAATCTGCCTGCCCTTGTCGAGTTTACCTCTTTGGTCCTTGTGTCGGCTTTCTCTCCAACCATACAAGACTCTCAAACCTCCTTCATTCTCCTCAAGCTCCTGCCCCGCCCACCACCTCGACGGATGTGCTGTGTGGCTCACAAACCTTCGGATAGGAACTTTTCATCGTCAGTCTTCAAAACCGTTGCATCCCACCTTTCTTTCCTCCTTCCTTAGGGTTGTGTGAAGGAGGGGTCCTTCTGGAAGGCCTCCCGTGACCCTCCCAAGGAGGGACTGGTGCTCTCACTTTGACCATCACAACTCTTGTTACACTGTTTTGTCACTTTGGACGACTGTCCAGCTTCTCTGAGCTTCCCCGAGGGGCCCTATCTCCCTCACGGCTGGCCTGGTGTGTGCCATCTAGGTAACGGTCAGTAATAACGGTGCAAGAGAACTCACGAGCCAAACTCCAGGAACTCTTGGGGGCGGGGCTGCGGCCTGAAGGTGGGGCCATGTCAGGGGCGGGGCCACGCCTGGGCGGGGCTGCGGCGTGGGGGCGGGGCCTGCACTGGGGTAGCTTCCAGCTTTCTGGTGGCGGTCGGCCGTTCTCCTCTGGATGTTAAATCGGGAAAGAAGAGTTGGGGCTTTACCCCCAGAGACAAGGTTAGGGTGGGACCTTCGCTCACCCCTACCTACGGAGCTTCGCCAGCTGTCCTTCTCCACAGCCCTGCAGGACCTCACAGTGGGGGCCAAGGGTGGCCTCCGAGGGTCCGGAGAGACCCCAAGCACCAGCCGCCCTCTCTGCTGGAGCTCGACGGAGGCCATCTTCATCATCATTACCATAGCACTGACCTCTGTGCGCTGAGGCCCCACCACCCTGTCTGCCCAGCTCTAGGCAAGTGACGGGGCCGGGGTCCCCGTGTCATCGTCCCAGGGGCTGGGACCTGCGTCGTGAGGCTGTCGCGGGAGTGGAAGGAGAAGTGGAAGGGGACCTAGAACCTATGTTCAGCATAGGGTTCGGGGCTGGCCCAGAGGCTTTGCCACGGCTGCTGCGGGGACTTGGCGAGGCCAGCATCTCATGCCACCCGCAGGACCGGTAGCCACACGGCGGAGGGTGCCCAGGCTGCGCTGGGCGTTGTTTTTTGGGAAGCTGCCTGGAAGGCCCCAGCACCTGCAGCAGGGCCAGGGCTTGGTTCCTGAAGCCCGCTGGTGAAGGCCATCAGCGCAGCGTGATGGTGGAGGCACGAGGTCGCCCCCGAGGGGCAGAGGCAGAAGCTCATACAGACTCCCGAGGCCCCCAGCGCGGCGGGTGGAGCAGCCTTCACGACTCAGGTAAGCTGCTATCACAGCCTTGCTTTGGTGGAGGGGCCCTCAGTGTCAGGCCCTGTGTTAGACAGGGCCTCTGGCTCTGACGGTCATCACCAGGGACGGGAGCCGACGCTACGGTTCTTTTTTGGTTTTTTTTTGGACAGGTTTTCTTGCATGAGTATTATCTAGCAGATTTGCAAGACACAGATTACCCCGTAGTAGTGGCGCTCATAGGCTCCACCCCAACCGTGTAAAACTAACACTTTGATGTATTTCTTTCCAGACTTTACTATGCGTATGTTTGGTGTTTAAATAATATATATACATCTATATCTTTGAAAGGTCGGAAAACATTTAACATTTTATCATAAGCAGTGTCTATTGTATACTCTTCCTAAACCTCATTGTTAGTTAATATTACATATTAATTAACCATTCTGTTTTTTCTTTGATTTTCAGATTTGTTCTAAGTTTTTGCTATTGTAAGTTGTTGACTAACATATTTGTAGGTAATCGTACTTGCTTCTGAACTGTCTTACTCCAAAAATCACAGTGCTTTTCCCGAACTTCAGATGAGTTTCTAATCAGGGTTCTACTCTTGAGTCGTTTCTCTTCTTTTTCTACAGTCTCCTTAGGGGAAGTTTCTAACTATTGAGTGTTTTATTTCGATACCGACGTCTCCCTTTTGCTTCAAATTTATACATCCAGATGCTTGCTAATATTCCCAACCTTGATTTCCCACAGGTGTCCCAAACTTAACATCTGTAAATTTAGCTCTGCCAGCCCAGGGTTCTTGCTTTCCTAGGCCCAGTATCAATTGGTGGCACCTGGTCACCAAGCCAGAAACAGGTGAACCTTTCTCTGTTCTGCCCCCTTCATCCTTCCCATGGTTGGTCAGTCACCAATATTTAGCACCTGTCTGCTAAACAGTTCTCAACTTTTAATCTCCTCTCAATTCTTACTCCCACCCTGGTAGTTGGGGTCCTCATCATCTCTCACCATCATCTCTCACCAAACTATGCAGTAGTCTCTTCACTAATCTCTGTTCTTAACCTCTGTTGCTGATCTCTTTGTGTTTTTTTTTTTTTTTAGCTTCTTTTGTTACTCCTAGTATGCGTTTTTTTTTTTTTTACTCTAGTAATAAATGTCCATTTTGTTCAGTGCTTCCATATCTTTACTGATTATGATTTTTCTACATGGAGGCCTCAGGCAGGTAAACACTAGAATTTTCACCATCCGCTGCAGTTGGTCAGGGGCTTTATTATTTTTTTTCGAGTAATTTGTCCATTTCATACAATTTGTTGACTTTATTGCCATAGTTCATAATATTTTCTTTTAATATTTCTAATTTTTAAAAAATTTAATTTAATATTTCTAATAATATTTAATATTTTTCTTTTAATATTAGTGGATCTGGGACTGTTCCTTCTTTCCTTCTTGATGCTGGTGATTTGTGTCTTTTGTGATCAGTCTCACTAGAGGTTTATCAATTGTCTTTTTCCCCCCCCCCCAAAGAAACAGCTTTTCGTTTTATTGATTTTATTATTTTTCTGGCTTTTATTTCATCGATTTCTACTCATGTTTTTATGACATTCTTCTTTCTGTTTGCTTCCTTCTGTTTCCTTTTCCAGTTTCTTAAGGTGAATACTTATTAGGTCATTAATTTGAGACTATTCTTCTCTTCTTAGTATAAGCTTATTTTTTTCAAAGTGAACATAACCTCAAGATTTTATTGCCTTTATAATAACACAAAGGGTGAAGCTCAAACTGGATCATTTGGCCTTTTCTCTTGTTATCTCCACCTTGTTCAAAATGCTTCCGACTCTTGATAGCCAGTGTTCTCTTTGATCTGTACTTGGGCTCCACGCATTCTCACCTCAGCACAATCTTCTCTGGGGTTTCAGCCTTTTTCTGGAAAATTGGCTTCGTGTGTTCACCATAGCCCCTCTGCCTCCTTTCCCAACACCGCTTCCCCTGGACACATGAAAATCCTTGTTCTTCTCGTACTGTGTTACTATGTTGGTATCTGCCACATGTCCTCGAGAAAGTCTCCTGGGTTTTCAGAATGTTTACTCTGGTTGTGTGGATATTTTCCCTATATAAATTTAATGCTATGAATTTTCCTATAAATACTGATCTATCTGTAGTCCATATATTTTGATACGTCGTCTTCATTTTCCATTGAAATTATTTTTTAAAGTTTATTTGACTTTTTCTTTGAGTTACTTAGAAGTATGTTTTCAATTTTCAAATATTGGGGAATTCCCCAAATACCTTTCTGTGTTGATTTCTAATTTAATTCCATTATGGTGAGAGAACATACTTTGTACAATTTCAATATTTTAAACTTCACTGAAGTCTGTTTTATAAAAGGTGTCTCTTGGTGACTGTTTTCATGTGTACTTGGAAACAATATGTATTCTGCTGTTGGATAGAATTCTCTATAAATAGTAGGTCAAGTTAGTTTATAGTATTTTTCATCTTCCATGTCCTTCCTGATTTTCTTTCTGCTTTTATTCCTGAGGGAGGATTGTTGACTTGTCCAACTCTAGTCCTGGTGTTGTGTGTGTCTCCTGAGCTGCCACTTTTTGCTTCATGCATTCTTCAAGCTCCAGTGTTAGATGTATATACACTTAGGATTCTTATGTCTTGTGGGAAAATTGTCTCCTTTATTATTATCTAATGACTCTTTTTATACGTGGTAATACTCCTGAAGTCTACTTTGTCTGGTATTCATTCATAAAGGGCCCCAGCTTTCTCTGGATGAGTGTTTTCATGGTATATATTTTTATTTTTATTTTTTTTTTCATGGTATATCTTCTTATATCTTTTAAACTTCTTAGTTATGTCTTAATCTCTAAGGTAAGTTTCTTGTACACAGCATATGATGGTGTCTTGCTCTTTTATCCAATCTGACAATCTCTGCCTTTTAATTGAGGTGGGTAGACCATTTCCATTGCTATTATTGATATGGTTATATTTAAATCTCCCATCTTGCCAACTGTTTTTTATTTGTTCCATCTGTTCTTTGTTCCTTTTGCCACCTTTGCCAACTTGCTTTTGAATTATTTTTTATGATTCTCTTTTCTCTTCCCTCTTGTCTTGTGAAAACTTTTTTAATATTTTTTTTCTATGCATGTCACAGGATTTAAAATAGTCATCTTTCATTTACACATTTTAAAATAGTCTTCTTCCAGAAAGAATAAAAGTCCTCTTCAAATAATATTATACCACTTCATGTATAGTGTAAGAGCCTTACAACAGGATATTTTTCCTTCCCCCCATCCTTTGTGCTATTATATATTTAGGGGCTGTATTATTTCAAATAATTTTTAAATTTCTTAAGTAATCTGTAACTTTTTGGTGTAAAAATATTAACATTTCACATAGCCTAAAGTCTCTTTGACCACCCCTTCCCTGGAGGTAAGCAATGTTATCAGTTTCTTATACATTGTTTTAAACCTTTTCTACGCCTGTAGTGTGTGTGTGAGAGAGTGCGTGCGCATGCATGCGCATATGTATACACTTAGAATATGTATAGTTTATTTTTTTACATAAAAGATATTACACTGTGCATACCAGTCAAATGTAGTTTCTTTTATTCAACAGTGTATCTTGTCCATCTACCCATATTAGCACTTCATTCTTTTGAATAGCTACATAGTACTCTGTTAAATGAGTTGCCTACCATGCTATTTAAGGTAATGGACCTTTGTTTCCTATTATTCATTATGGTAAACGAGCTTCCAGTGAACATCCTTCTGTATGCCTTACTGTGGACATATGCAAGCGCTTCCCTAGAGTACCTGCCTAGAAGGGGAATTACATTTTTCACAGAACCCTCTATCAAGAAATAAAGGGAAGAGGGGAGCAGAAATTAAAATGAGAAGGTTTTAGGGTTGCACTGGGGCTAGTGGGTGTGGTGGGGTGGTGGTGGGCGTGTTTGGGATATGATAGAGGATTTAAAAGCTTTGGAAAGTCTTTGAAAAGTCTTACGCAGTAATGGCATAATCTTTGGAACTCAGAGACAGATGAGGGAACATAGATTGGTTGCTATTTTCATGCCTTGGGTATACAGAGTCCACTTTTTTCT